AATTTTTTAAAGATTAAGAATTATTTAAAATATAATAATTTTAATTATTTAGTGGTGGGGCGGGAGTGAATTTTGATTTCAAATTTTAGCAACATAATACACGTTGGTAATAGGTGGTGAATTTGAAATTCAAACATGTTTTACCAACATGGAGTTTGATGGTGATAGTGGGGTAAACTTTCAGCAACCAACTTTATGTTGCTGAAAGTTTTTTATATACCCCTACCCTCAGCCTTTTCCTCCATTCGTTGTGCAATTCTATCCAACTCCCTTTCTCCTCTATGCTGCACTGTCCAAAGCAATCTCCATGTCTTCTGCAAGTCTCCACCTCATTTTCCTGCGTGCTGGACTATCGTCAGTCATCTCTATGTGTTCTGTAATTCTGTCCGCTTTCTTCTCCGTGTGTTCTGCATGCAATTGTCTCCACTTAGCTCCTTCTCCTGCATGCTGCACAGTATCCTCAGCCATCTCCAGATGGCTTTCTGTAATTCTCTCCACCCACTTCTCCTATGGGCTGCACTATGTCATATGATGAGCGCGCCACCTCTCCTCCAAACCTCCGATTAGATCCAGAAGTCTCAACCTCTTTTTTTTTTTTTTTTTTTTTTTTTTTTTTTTTTTTTTTTTTTTTTTGCAGAAAATGAGGAAATTACAAGTCAATAGGTTATAGGTAATGCTTTAACAAATATTTTTCTTTATTTTGTTGTAATTTGTTATGTATTATTTATTTTTCACTTATATTTTACTGTAGCTAATATATATTTCTATTTTATTCTTTATTTACAATTATAATTATTGTTGTTGACCTTTTTTCAAAAAAAATTAGCAATATTATATTATATTCTCATTTATTTTTATATGTTGTATATTTAAATTTTAATTTAACTAAAATCAAAATATTATGTATCTAGTTCTTCTTATGTCATTAATATAATTTAGCACATTATATAAGATTGAAATTTTATTTGTTGCATAGTTTAAATTTAATGTAATTAATATTTTACATGTATATAGTTATTATATTAAGTACTTAGTACAAAATTACTTTATCCCTTTATAACGTATGTATTCTGATTTGGAAAATATATTTTTGCATTTCGTAACATTATGTAATTAGTTAGTAAAATAAATATATTTTATTCTATTTTATTTTTATTTTTATTTTTATTTTTTTGTTAAAAGCGCTTATTTCAAACCATAATTGGTATGAATAATCCAGGCAAAGGATTCCTTTTTCTATGCAATTGAGGTTATATATACAAACCAAAAATTGTCTATATATATTTTAATGTAACGAAAATATAGGCACTAGAGTTTTCAAAATTTGCATTTGAGTCCAATATATTCGGACTGTAAACTGTCTGAATAAATTTTAAAGCAACGGACACATAGGCACTAGAAGTTTTAAAAGTTACTGTTAAGTCTAGTATATTTGGACCTTTAACGGTCTAAATATATTTTAGTGGGACAGCCATATAGGCCCCCAATTTTTTAATCTTTACAGATAAAGACAAATATATTCAGACCAATCTTGGTTCGAATATATTTACAAAACAGACAACACCTTTTTTTTTTTTTTTTTGCAGCCTTAAATATTCAAACTGTTTTTGGTTCG